TGACACTATTAATTTAGGAATATATATTATGATAAAAACATTTTTAAAATTCTCATTGGTACTCTATATGGCCTCTTTCTTAAAAAAAGAGCAAAACCAACACAAAACTGGTAGGATGTGTGTTTAACTATGTGAGAAGATGGTGTTTTGCCAAAGTTAGCAAATTATCTTCAGACAAAAAAAAACCAATATGAGAAAACATTGTTTTCTAGAACTTACACATTCATAAATAATGCTCTCCAGCTGTTCATTCAACAAACAAGACACTGAGAGTGTGGATAGATAAAAGATAAAAACACAGTCCCTGACCCTGAGGAGTTGTCAACTCGTATCATGGTATATACCAGGCGTCAGCAAACTGTATCCTATGGGCCAAACCAGACCCAATGCCTGTTTCTGTAATAAAGTTTTATTGTAACATAGTCTTTATTTATTTGTTTCCATATTTTCTATGGCTGCTTTTGTGCTAAAACAGCAACGGTGAGTAGCTGTAGTAGAGACCTTACGTTGTGTGCAAAGCCTACAAGATGCATTATCTGGCCTTTTACAGAAAAAGTTAAGCAGTCCCTCATACAGAACAGAATGAACCCTATAGAAAATATTTTCTTAGGGAGGTAATATTGTCTCAGGGGCTGAAGCAGATTCCGTAGCAAAGGTACTATTTAAAGATAAGTAAAAGCTCACCAAGAACAGGAAAAGAAATATCACACATCAAAGCACAGGATGAGAGAACACTATTTTTTAGGAAAACAGGAATGAGTACAGTCTATCTCATATATAGGGTATTAGGGATGTGGCAAGTGAAAGAATAGCAGAGAATACTTGCACCGATCTTCCCCTGCCTATGTTTCCAGCTCGTGTGTAGGGAGTGAAATCTACAATTTTAATGTCATACTCTAAGGACGATATAATTAGAAAATATAATTAGGCTTGTAAAGTACATTAAGGTTAAGTTATTCTGCCAGGAGTTTAAACTTGATACTAGTCTCAATGGAAGGTTATCATTTATCAAAAAAGTCAAAATACTAAGGTTTATGAATGAGTTAAGTTTTTAGAAATTAGAATATGTCTATTTTAATTGCTTTCAATGTTTTCCTTTAAATGTTATTCTCACTACTTTGTATTCTGACATAATTTTCTGAATGACCACAAAGAGTTTACCAAACGATGAACTGCATATAATCTTGAGCATACAAATGAACATCATGTTGCACATTTGAATGCCATGCATCTCATCACCTGTCACAGAAGGAAAAAAAGGCTGAGTAACTTAGCTGTAGGAAATGGATGCAGAGGAAGTCATTAATCCCAGTGACGAGAAGGGAAGATGGACTTAAGTGAGAAAGATACAAGTGGGAGAGAAGTCTACAAGCTGGTAACCTGGCAATTTGAAAGACAAAGTTTAAGGCAAATGTACAGAGGGAGGAAACCAGTTCAGTATGTACTAAGGAGAGAATGAATAGCTCATTAGAGACAGTTGGAGGACTATGAAATTTGTAACTGAGAAGACTGTGAATGGAGCTGCTCAGGGAATTAGGGAATACATGAAGCAGAGGAGGAAGAAATCTGGGGGGAAAGAAAATGTACTATTTTAGATATTTATTGGAGCACCAATATTAGATAGTAGATACTTTAGATAGGTTGATTTCAGGAGCTTTGGTACACCAAAGTGTACCTCTTCAGTAAGTAACTGAAAATAAAGTGCTGAACCTTTGAAAAGAGTCTGTTCAAAAGACATGAGATTAGGAAGCAGTGGTGAGGAATGGATGAAATTTCTTCAGGGATAAGGATACACGTGAAGTGAAATATATAAAAAAGAGAAAAAAAAGACAAAAGAAAATTCCATGTTTAATAGGCAGAGTAAAAATAGCCAGAACAGCAATAGGAGAAAATTAGAAGATAAAAGTGATGTTGCAGAGGTCACATGCAGTTTCAAGAAAATGAGAACAGCTTATCACAGAGAATATAGAGCCAAGCTTCTGAGATACATGCACAGCACCTTCCCGTGACAAAATACAAGATAACGCACGGAGAGATTTAGCAACCTATGTTTACCTACAGAATAAAAAGCCATAGCTTTACTGGTTAAGGGTAAAGGCTCTGAATTCAGAGGAACCTGGGCTGCAATCCCAGCTCTGCTATCTTGAGCAAGTTAAACTTTCTACACTTCAGTTTTCAGCCTAGAAGTAAATAGTATTTACCTTTTCCACAGGACTGTGGTCAGGAATAAATGAGATAAAATTGAATAAATAATCAAATGTTGGCAGCCATTATTAAAACCATTTTTAACAGGAAACAACAAACCATTATAAATTATCAGGTGATAAATTAAAGCAACTTTGCTCCTGAGGCCAAAAAAGCCAACAAATGTTAAATATCAAGGATATAAAACATGATCATACCTTTATATAAAACTACAGTACATCTTAATTGGACCATTGTGTGGAATTATATGGTAAGATAAAAATGGGAATTAAAATACAACACAACAAAACACAATTGGGTCTTCAGTTTAAGAAAGAACGACATGTTAAATGTCATAAAAAAGATTCCTAGTATTGTCCAAGCAAACAGAACTTACCAGCAGATGGGGCCCTCTAGAATGTGTTGATAGGCAAAACTCCCTCTGGTGAAGGATGACTCATTAGGATGTCTAAATTTTATTCCTTATATATATTTAAATACCTTTGATTTAATTACCAAATAACTTTACTAGCAGTAAGGTCTCCAACATACCTTAACGCTTATACTGATATTCTGACTAGCTGATAGATATTCTAAAATATAAACTACTAGAATTCTCTAATATTTTACAATTTAAAAATTGGTAATCTGGTTTTGAAAATAGATAGTGAAAAGCGAGTGATCTGAGATGCCCCTGGGAAATCTACGAGGCTAACAAACTAGGCCTGCATCATAAGACCCTTGTAATGTTCAGTTTAAAACAGTATAAGATAGCTCAGAATTCTTCTACCTGTGGTCACAAATATAAATCGAATGAATTTTTTTGTCATTATTCCTCAACTTTTTTACCCTTAGATGAACTACTAGTTAACTATCTACATCCATACCTGGAAAAAAATCGTAAGTACCAAGTGATTAACTAAAATGAGAGGCAAAGCTTACACTTATTCTGTAAATAACAATTTTAACTGTATCCACTTCTCTTTGTTTACTAGAAGCTCCTACATTATTTTAATTAATTTAAAACAATAATTAGAAGATCAAGTAAGTCCACTACACTGATAGATTAAAACAAACAGTATCAATATTACCATTATATGGTTTTATATGACAGTGTCACAACCCACAGACTCACTGCCTTAATGGGACTTCTCTGTCCAAGGAGTTATGCCCACAAGCAGAAGTGTATAGCTCCAACTATTATATTTTTATGTTCTATCTATGGGCAATTAACACTCACAGTGTTTCACTGATTTCTCCCTGCCCCTTCCCTATGCTGCCAACTCACGTGTTCAAGGAGTAAAATCTACAATTGTAATGCTATACACTAAGCAAAACATAACGAGTTTATGAAAGAACAAAATAAAACAGAATTCCACAGGCACCACACAATGTAGTCCAAATCAAATATAAATGATTTTTGTTTACTCAATTAGATTTAAGACCCTATTTTTACAGAATTAGAATTTAACACCCTACAATAAGACTACAAATAAAACATTAACAAGCCAAAGATTTGGGGCAATCTAGTCCTTACGTGAGACTATTTAGTCAGCTTGACTATATGGATGCATCCACACACAAAAATTTTAAGTAGATTAGATGACTTCGGCAGACAAGATACAACAGCTGCCATACTGCCCTGTAAAGTCCTTAAATCAGGGAAACCAAAATACTAAACTAGGCACAAAATCTTTTAAGTCCTTTTCTGTTCCAGGAACACTTAGTGCATACAACCTTAGCTACTTTGAATCAGAGTTGACACAATGCCTGATGAATGGATGAATTATATAAAATATACATCACCAAAAGATCCAAATTATAAATCATTTGGCTTCAGTTTGTTTATGCTGAACAACTTTTTACCTAAAAATGTCAGTTAAATAAGAAGGAGCTTGAAAATTAGCAATCTGTTCCAGAAAATGCAAAATGTCTTATTCCTTACATACAGTAACTTGGTTCTGATTTTCAATTGTAAGTTTGAATTCCTGGGAGACATTAAACAACAGCAATAAAGCCAACTTCAAAGAAATCTCTTCTAATTTTTCCAATATCCTAGGAAATGAAAAAAAATGTAATAATTATGAATTCTATTATTCTATGGATGGTGTGAGTACAAAAACCTATGCATACCCAGTTTTAATCAAGAGAAGTTAGGTTCAGAAGGACTGTGATTTCCTTGTACATAGAGGTATGGCAATCCTCACGGAATTCTAAAAAAAATTAGTATGAAAAAGCTACACAATGCCCCTCTTGTTATCAGCCCAAAGAATCCGAATGTTCAATGGAAACCCAGCAATTCTTCGTACATATCAAAGAGTTACTCAATGTCTGGAACCTTATTTCACTCCAGTAACCAAACGGCTTCTAAAAATCCCTCTGAGGTATCAACTTTAAGAAGCGAGATTCTCACCAGCTGTCAGAGAGAATCAAAACACAGCTACTGCCTTTGGCATTAAACCCAAGCTCAACGTAGGGCGTGTCCGGGTTGCTGTGGAGCCTGTTCCAATGTCCATTCAAGGGAGGGTGCCCTGTGCTTCCCAGACATGCTGCCTCCCAGGACTCTCCCCGCTCGACAGCGCGCCCGGTGGGAGTCTCGCAGGAGGCAACCAGAGCGACATGCCGCCTCCCTCTCCAGCTCTTTCCTTGAAAGCCCCACCCCTCCGACTAGGGCTTCCCTACGACCACCCGCTTGACGCCCGTTAAAATGAGGGCAGCGGGGCTCCCGGCTTTCTCCAATCCATTGGGGGTACAGGGAAAGGGGTTCTGAATAGGAGGAGCCAGTGGGTGCCCGGCCCCTCCGGCGGCGGGCTTACCCTCCACCGCCTCCTACACGCTGCAGCCGCCCCGCTTCCTTGCGGAGGATCCCAAAGCACTGGGTCCAGCAGCAGTTCCCCATCGCATGCCGCCAAGGCGCCGCCGCTCCTCCTCCTCCCGCTCAAAGCCCAAGCCCAGGCCCGCAGCCGCATCCGCGCGGCACGAGCCGAATGAGGGTTCGGGGACCTAGTGCGGGCCGGCCGGAGCGCGCGGCGTGAGGGGCTGGGACGACGGGAGGGACGGGCGCTCGGAACAAAGGCAGGTTACTCTTGCGGCCGCCGAGTCGCCGCCGCTGGAGGGAGGGAGGCCGGGCTACGGGCTTTGGAACCCCGCACAGTCCGCATGGCCACTGGCTCGCTTCAGTCCCCCGGCCCAGCTCAAGTGTCCGCCTCCTGCCGCTGAAGGAGGCCAGTCCGGGCGTCGCGCGCCTAGGCCCTGCCTCTTCGGAGACCCAATAGGGCACGTTTCCTGGGCGGCCCGCCTCCTGCGGCGACTGGTTGTACGTCACTTCCGCTGGTTCGCTGTCGGCTTCCGGGGCCTCAGCTGGTTCGGTTGCTGGCGTGTTCGGTAGGTTTTTTGGGCCGTGGTATCACTAGGAAGTCTCCTTTTCTTCTTGCAGTCTCCCGCTTCTTGATCCTGAGTGTCTTCGGTATCGTACGGTCAAGGCTCAGCTTCGAACTTTGTACCAAAGCCTTGTGAGTGGCTTACCCAGAGCCCCGAGCCAGGAGTCATCGGGTATGAGAACGGGCACTTCTCTGGCGGTGTATGCTTAGATTTTAAATATATTGCACCGTAAGGCAAATAGAGCCAGGGGACTGGTGGACGTGTTTTTGAATGCACCAAGTATTTTTTCTCTTCTGGTCTCCAGCTTGGCACCTCAGTGTCCATACTGCCTACACAGTAGGGAAACAATAATGTTGCCCTACTGGCCTCACTTTTATTTTAAGTCAAAGTTTCAAATAATTTCGTATGGAGCAGTTGGAAGTAAGTTAGAGAGCTGAGGTTTTTCAGGGACGCCAGCCTGGTCAATCCAAGCGTGCTGCCCAGAACTGTGGTAGATGGTAAAAGCCGCTCTTACGCCACTTGGTGCGAGGCGCCCTCCTCAGGTGCCCCTTTAAAACTCTGTTATTGTCTGTAGTTGGCCTTAAAATCGGATATGAGGTGTAGTTTAGTAAGTGCCTCGTCCAGTGCACGGGATGGCCTATTTACTAACTAACCAGATTGGGAAAATTGTTACGTTCTAGAAATTACTAGTGAAAACATGCTCTTTGAGCTACCAATTTTCCTGCTTCCTGAAATCTAGACCGACCAGAGTTTCAGTCTTAGCATTGCTCACTTAACCAATTTTGACCTTATTTGGGTTGGGTCTTAGTGGTTTTTGTAGTCATGTGCATAGGGATATGTTTGGCCCAATAGGCTGTAGTCAGTGCATGCTGGTGGAATGACTAAATGACTTAATCAATAAAGACTTTTCTTTACCCCTTTCAACCCCTGAAATCAAGCAAATGTACTTATGAAATAGGCTTTAAAATTCAGTTATAAATACTTAAAGAAACTAGTATATTCCTACCAGGGAATACTACTCAGCAACAACAAAAAACCCATACTATTAAATCTGCAGGAAGTTATACTGAATGAAATAGCCAGTCTCAAAAGCTTACATATTGTATAACTGTTTATATAACATTATAGAAATGACAAAATTCTAGAAATGGAGAAGAGATTATGGTCAGGGGCATGGATCCATTTCGTGAAAACCTATATCTTGGCTGTATCAATATCAATATCCTGTTTGAATTTTTTACGTTATGCTTTTTATTTTGAGATAATTACGGTGTCATATGCAGTTGTACAAAAATAATATTCAGAAATCACCACAGGTACCCTTTACCCCTTCCCTTAATGGTAACATTAAGGGAAAAACTAAACGGCAATAACAATCATACAAGCACCCACTGCTGAAAGCAGTATAGAGGTTCCTCAAAAAACCAAAAATAGAAATAACAACCCTATGTTTATTGCTCTGTATTATTTATAGTAAGATATGCAAACAACCAAAGTGCCTGTCAATAGATGAATGGATAAAGAAGATGTGGTGCATATACACAATGGAATATTATTCAGCCATAAAAAAAAATCCTGCCCTTGGCAAAAACATGGATGGACCTTGAAGGTATTATACTAAGTGAAGTAGGCCAGGTGGAGAAAGACAAATATCATATCACTTCACTTATTTGTGGAATCAAAAAGTAAAATGAACAAAATAGCTGTAGACACTGAGAAGTGAGGTGTTCACTGTGGGGGAGAGGTTAGGATGGGTGGTTAGGGAGGGTGAGAGGCACAAAAATCTCAGTCATATCATAAGTTGGTAATGGGATGGAAGTACAGCATGGAGAATATAGCCAATGATTCTGTAATATCTTTCTATGTTGACAGTACCACAGTAGTTGGGTTAAGGATTTCATGTATGTAACTGTTAAACCACTGTATTTTATGCTTGAAACCAGTATAGTACTGTATATCAACTATACTTCTATAAAAGAATACACTTAAAAATTACTTAATATCAAAAAAGGTTCAACCATACACATTTGAGGAACATTTTTTCCTATAGGCATTCTTATAAATCTTTATTAAAAGTAAATCTACTCCCTGTTAAGGATATGAATAATCCTTAGAATCAATACAAATGATTAAAATATTTTTAAAAATTGACTTCACTAATAAAAGCAATACAAATTAAAGCACAATGAGAAGTAATTGTTCATTAGGTTGACAAAAATTTACAAGTGAAATGTTCAGTCTTTGCACAGACACAGTGAAAGAGTATTCTTCTGAAATGCTGGGTATAGTGAAACTCATTTTGAAAAATTTGGAAATATTTATCAAGAGTCAGAAATAAACTAAATGCTCAATAATTAAAGGATGGTTAAGTTTGCTGGTATATTCTTATAACAATATATAACCATCAGAAATGCTTTTTGGAAAAACTAATAACATGGAAAATGCTGCTGAGTAATGTGTTAAAATATCAGGATAGAAAATAATATATATATTTTGTGTTCCAAAGGATGTTTAAAACAAAGCACAATCTTCTATGCACATATGCATTTTTCTCACATATTTCTAGGGGAAAATAAAGACCAAGATGTTAAATATCAAAATATTAATAGTAATTGTCTCAAGATTGCAGACTTGGGGAGTTTTTTTAATACTTCTCTATGTTTTCAGTTTTTCTTCAATGATCATTTAATACTTCTGTAATTAGAAAAAAATTTTTTTCATTTGGCCTGTCAACAGAATGTGTTAACTGATAGCCAACTCAATTAAGTTTGAGAACAAATGCAGATATTCAGAAAGTGATAAGGACTTGAATGTGGGTTGATTATTACAAACTGAGTTGAAGTATTTAATTTTTTTCTAGAAATGTATTAAATTTTCAAATTAACATAAGAGGCTGTTGGAATTTATCGTGCTTTCTCACCAAATTTGACCTGAGTAATCTTATGTTCATTGTAATGCAGCATTAGAATTTTTTAAGCACTTAGTTGAGTGATGATCTGTTAGTTAAGTGGAATTAGCAGAGAGAAACCTAGTAACTGGAAGGGATTTTTGTAAGGCAAATCAACTCCTTCATTTTATAGATGAGAAAGAGGATTCCTAGAGGAATTACATGATTTGCCCAAGGTCATAAAATGAATTGGCATAAGATGAAGAAAGCCCAAGTCTCCCAGAAGCTATCTTGTGCTCTTGTGCATAGTATTACTTCCCCAACCCTATGTTTAGACATGGGTGTGAAACTGGTAAAGACAATAGTGAAGAATGTTCTGATAAGATTTATGTGTTTAATTCATTACAGCTAGAGAATTCATTTAATATGGCAATTGGCCAGGGAGACTACTTAATTTACCAGTAAGAGACAAACAGATTATCTACAGTGATGGCCATTTTAATGTCAGCTTGCTAGAGAGACCCCATCTGTCTACCTTCCAGGTAACAGGACCTTTCTCCTTTCCTGTCCCTTTCAAAGTTCTTTTCTCTCTAGTAGTTTATTCTGATGTCAAAGGAAAAGTTTTCCTCATTGATGATCCAAAGGCAGTCAGAATGCAGTCTGTACCTCCAACTGACTTCTGGATTATGTGGTTCCAAATCTGAATCTCTGCTCAGAATTCCTTCTCTATTAGCCACTAGTTACTTTTTGATTTTGTGAGATCAGTCACTGCTGATGTGTTGTTCTGTAGGTTCGGGGGTCCTTGCAAGGGGAAGAATTCTGTGTTCTCCATTACCATTCTGGTCCAAACTTGGACACACATTCATCCTTTTAATTCATTGGAGTGTAGTTTACAGTAGCAAAATTCACACAGGATACTAGATATGACTGCTATAATATGGCAATAATAAAATAATAATAAAATATACCTTATGGGTTTGTTGTCAGGATAAGTGATTAAGCATTTAGTCAAGTACTTAACCATAATATAAAAGCAAATGCTTAGTATACATTCAGGTGCTTACTGTAATATAACTGCTATAATTCCTATATGTACTGTAATTACATCATAGATGTAAATATTAGCTGTTGTTACTATTATTCACAGATTGAAGAAAATTTTCATCAACATTATTTTTTCCTTTGCAGCTATATCCCTGACATTCTGTGAAAAAATGTTAGCTTTTTCAAAATTCTGTCTCATAGGCATGCACTCAAGCATACTCCACATCACTGCTTGATAGCCAGTTCTAAGAAAGCATGGCCTACATAGAAGAGAGTTCTCCTTGTTTGTCCCATGATCAGCCTTTCTAGGATGACTGAAAATTAGAATATCCACTGAGTTATTGGAAGACCTTATCCCCTACCAACTAGGAGTGTTTGTCCTGGGAACCTAAATAGAGTTATTTCATCATGACACAATAATCCTTCATTATAGGTCCAAAAGTCTTATTTATTCAGTCTGAAATAATCATATGTGAAAGACCAATAGTCCAGTCCAGGTTTAACTTGGTCCAGTATTGCCTACTTATTTTGTACATATTTACCTCCATTTTGAAGTAAAAATTTAGGTACACTCAGCTTAGTTTCAGCTCCTTAGTGGCTTGAACAGGAGTCTATTTCCATAAGAATAAGTAACACTTTGGGCATAGCACGGCTTTACTTCATACATAATATAACATTTTTTCAAAAAAATCAAAGTGAACCAGCTCTGTCTGCAATGCAAACAACCTTTGCATTATCATACAGAGTGGTTTAGTCCTTACAAATCACTGTTCTCAAATGCCTTTATTTATTCATTCATTCATTCATTCATTTATTTATTTATTTATTGAAGGATAGTTGACACACAGTATTACATTAGTTTCAGGTGTACAACACAGTGATTCAACATTTATATACATGATAATTCTAGCTACCAGCTATCACCATACAAAGTTGTTACAATATTTTGACTATATTCCTTATGCTATACATTATATCCCGGTTATTTATTTTACAGTTGGAAGTCTGTACATTTTTTGTTTTGTTTTGTTTTGTTTTTTGAGAGGGCATCTCTCATACTTATTGATCAAGTGGTTGTTAACATCAATAAAATTCTGTATAGGGGAGTCAATGCTCAATGCACAATCATTAATCCACCCCAAGCCTAATTTTCATCAGTCTCCAATCTTCTGAAGCATAACAAACAAGTTCTTATATGGAGAACAAATTCTTACATAGTGAATAAGTTACATGCTGAACAGTACAAGGGCAGTCATCACAGAAACTTTCGGTTTTGATCATGCATTATGAACTATAAACAATCAGTTCAAATATGAATATTTGTTTGATTTTTATACTTGATTTATATGTGGATACCACATTTCTCTCTTTATTATTATTTTTAATAAAATGCTGAAGT